CCAGTGGATCTGATAACAGGATTCCCACCTTACAAAGAGTTGCCTGAAAATATGTCAGAGTTTGTGAAAGTGTTATCTGAACGGATGGATGATATTCATCATCAAGTGCGTTCAAACTTGAAAACGTCTGCTGATTCCATGAAGCTATGTTATGATAAAAGATCTACTGAAGTCAGCTTTGTACCAGGAGACAAGGTGTGGTTGTATAATCCCAGGAAGACCAAGAGGAAGTCTCCTAAGTTGTCTTCTCCATGGTAAGGCCCATATGACATAGTGGATCATCTCTCAGACGTGACTTTCTGAATAAAATGTGGTCGGCGAGGTAAGCCAAAGATGGTGCATGCCAACAGGCTTTGGCGTTATCACGGTCATGGACATTTCAGTTGGAACAAAGTGAACAACGGAACAAGTGATGCTGCTGAAGACGTGTCACCTGAAAAAGCCATTGTCGAAGAAGAAACTCCACCCGGTTTTGAGAAGGAAAACAGTGAAGCCGTTAATGAAGTTACTACCACTGATGTGACTGCTACTGATAATGGGACATTTCCTGATGGAGCAGATGAGCCCTACGTGAAGCAGAAGCCAATGAGATAGAGACCAGTGCAGAAGAAGATACGTCCTGTAAAATTAAGAGACTTTGTTGTATTTTAATTTTGTGTTTGTAAATTCTGTACATTCGATTAAGTTACTGTTAATTATCTATTGGTTAAATGCAAGTGGCTATTGTTTTGGACAAACAATACTAAGGAAGGGGCAGTGTTATGACAGTGGAAGTCACGTGATGCTGGGAGCATGCACGCTGGAGTTTCATGAAGGATCATGAAGGTCTGAGTACATTCAAGACACCCTCTTTTTAATATATAAGCCTGGCGAGAAAAACCAGCACGATCAGATAGATAGATAGATATAGAGATAGATAATTGAGTCAACCGACCGGTAGTGACGGTAATATAAAGTGTGTGTTTTATTATCGAGATTGTAAACATATTGACTTTGGAAATTCTGTGTATTACAAAGTTGAATCGAGAAAGAATAAAGTAGTTTTAATTAAGAAAGGACTTGTATCACTGAAGTTCTTTG